GACTAAATTTGATAGATAGATAGATAGATAGATAGATAGATAGATAGATAGATAGATAGATAAAACTAATTTACATTTTGTCCTTCCTGTATTTTGCAGCTTTACATTATCTGATCACTGAGCCTTTGAAAAAAATGTATATCATTTATACATTTAATTCTCTTTTACTAATCTATGTCACAATTTAACAATTGCATCATTCAAGTCTGTGTACAAATAAGTACTGTACTTGCAAATATTTTAAGAAGAACTAAAAGGGAAAACAAGATATAATTTGAATACAATGGCCCAAAAATATGTGCTACTTAAGAAATTAAATGAAAGAGGCAAGATTATGAATTAAAATAAACCTCTGAAGATCTAAAACACTCATGCCTGGTAAAAATTGTATTGCAGATGAACATTATACTAAACAAAATAATTTTTCCAACCTTAAGTCCCCATATCTTACCTTACCATTGTTATGACATAACAAAATGCAAGATGTGTTTTTCAAATAGCCCATTTCTCATGATCTACTAGTAACTATCCATTACCTGATTTTTTACATAGGGATAAGAAACTCTGAGATCCACTTGTACTTCTCTCATTAGGCCTTTCTCCAATTTGAGGCAACTGAAAACTATACCAGCATAAAATTTGTTGCTCATTTTGTTAATCCCTATCCTGCCTATTTAGGATTGCCTGGAAATGGTCCTCCCCTTATTTAATATGGGCAGGGTATGTTAAGGAAAGGGATTGGTGGATTCCCCTGGCTTTGGTTCCCTTCCCTCCCAGCAATGATCACAAGCCAGTGGGAAAACATCTGTCAATCATTCTTCTTAATGAAGGATGGAAAAGGTGGTGAGTTTTGACAAGCAGCTAGCTCACTGGGTTTAACCATCTGGCAAAACTCTTCTAGTGTTTTGTGGGGAGCCTCATATATTGATGACCAGTGGAGAGGGCTCTGTGTGATGAAGTAGCAGAGAGACATCAAAATACCACCACCCTATTTCACTCCTTTTGAACAAAGAAGCTCAAAGAACAGTTGATGAGAGAGGCATGTGGTGAAACTGCTGAGCCACTATGTCGTGCACCCTTGTGTTAGGTGTTAAAAGCTTCATTAAAGTGGAAAAAGTTTCATTACGTTGCTCCTTAGTATTTCTTCATTTTTTCTCTTTAAAGTGCTCAATTTTATTTTGTTGAGTTCTTCACCAATCTCTGCAATCATATCCAATGCACTGCAACAGTTTTTGTTGTAGTTCCTGTTTTAATTAGCTAGTAAACCCTCTTCAACCCCTCTCAATCCTTGTGTTTTTTTAGTGGCCCCTGCCTAACCCTGGGACAAGCCAGCTACAGAAATGTCATAGCTGTTTGACTTGGCTAGTTTAAAATCAGAATCCACCCTTCTTTAAAATTTGGGAGTGGAATAATATTGTGTTATCATTTCTTGTGGATGAGTGCTCTGCATATGGAAAAGGAGTTGTAAATTCTGATGCACTGCAGCTGTGCAAGCAAGAATGCAAGTGTTAGTTTTTAACTGGCTGACTGAAGATTGTTCTGTCTCAATCTGAGTGTTAGAATGTATTATAATAGCAAACAGTGTCCTAGAACTTATTTGTAGATATATATTCTTTAAATGTAGATTTGGTGTATAATTGTTAATTTCATATCTCAGACCATGCCATAGACTAAGGAACTTAAATATGATTGTCTTCCTTGTTACCATTGTGAATGGTGGTTGGAAGCTTTTAATCATGAATGATAGAAGTATGGTCTAGTTCATATTTTTAACACTGAAACAGAATCCTTTTCATCCTGATTTGTTGAGCAACCAGTAGTGCCCAACTCACACATAACAGTAAGCCATAATAGGTGTGTATCTGTACCAAGATAAGCCTTTTTAAAAGCACATTATGCTTATAGATATGTGTTAATTAGGGCATAGGAGATATTACATTTAAACCTAGCACACTGTTGTTTACTTAAACCATTGTTTCATGATGAATGGTTTTGCTTGTTCAGGATTAGGGTTTTTCTATTTAAAGACACCCACAGAAGCTAGTAATACATTTACATTAAAAAAAAAATTGGACATTAAGAGACTAGCCACAGCATCAGTGTCAACACAGATTAGAACAGTCTAAGAAGGTGTTGAAGTTTATATTGCTGAAATCGGAGCAAATTATGGCTTGACAAAACTATAATTTCTTGGTTTGCCTGCAACAGCATTTTACACTTTGCTCCCAGCTGCAACTGGAAATCTCAGACCTTTGTATGAGAAGAAAAATATGGTGAGTTAAGAGAAGGAAAGAACATGTGAACTTGAGGGTTATAATCGCTCATGCAATTGATAAATATATAGAAAAACTGTGCTTGATTGTAATATTTGAACTGTCAAACCAAATTTGGCAAACAGCCAACAATCCTGAATAAAAAAACAACTGCTTTCAAGTTGCTGTTTGAACTTTTCTGCACTGCAGCATTTAGTTGCTTGTTTCCTGTGCATAAACCAGCTAGAAATGAAGCCAGCTTAAGAAATCTCTTCCTGGATTTCATCTCTTTCCTCCACTTTGGCCACAACAATGGCCAGCTGTTCTGTCCAGATTGCAGTTAATGCACTCCTGATTGGTGGCTTCCTTGCTTCTTTTCCTCTCCCAGTCATGGCAGGAAAGTTAGCACAAACTCTTTTCCCTTCTGTAGCATGTTGTTTGAGGACCGATGGGAAAAAGGGAAAGGACAGTTCTTCCTAAGCAGAACTCTGTCAATTTCAGCCGAGGAGGAGGAGGAGCCAGTATTTCACTGGCCAAAGGGAAGAAGGGCCAGCACTTCACCATTTCACTACTGGATCCAAAAGAAAAGCAACCCAATATGAAATGGCCATAAATAGCAGTGATTGGGGGCTGGAGGAGGGGAATGCCCGCCAGAAAGCACACCAGTCAAGTGGAATAGAAATGTTTGTATAAGATAAAATGAAATGCAGCAGAAAACACACCAGTCTACCATGCTTCCACCAGCAGAAGGGGCAAAGCAAAGTAAGAAAATTTGGGTGGAGGTTGCCATGGGAGATTATAAGGAGGCTGAGACAGTAATGGAAAGTAGACATAAGAGATGGAAGGTGAGTCCAATGGCAACTTATCTTATAAATGGCATGTGCCTCAACCCAGATGATAAGCATTTCAAATCATTCAGAGAAACTCCTCTTGTATAAACCCACTACAAATGAGGGTTAAAAATTCCTCTTGCAGTTTCCAAGATTCTGCATTTACCCCAAAATGAGCATCACATATACCTTAATGAAGTCTGTAATTCTTGCTTTCTTGATCTTGCCCAGGTTTATGAGGGCTGACAGTCACCTTCCCAGCAACCTAGTGGTATTCCAAGGATGATGTTATCCTTTCTTGCCCTCCCAAAATGGCAGGTGGCCCAGCTGTATGCTGGAGCAAGCGGGAAGTGTGAATCAGACCTTTATCACAGCATGGCAATATTTGAACTGAGCTAAAGTATTTTAAATAAAGTAATACATTTTAAAAAACAAGTACAAATTAAGTAATGTATATACGTTTTTATTCACCGCATGAATATTGATGCTTTCCCACCAAAAGGCATATTTGTGGATTTTTAAAAATATATGCACGCAATCATTTATTTCAATATAATTATCTTCCACACAGCCAGATAGTTTATGACTACTTGGTGTGACAAACTAGTGTCTCTCACCGGAATCATAGTAGATTATTCTTTCAGCTGAAAGATTTTTCACGTAACCCTTTAATCAATCTTCCTTTCACCTTTATATTAGAGGTATATAAATGTGGACATTTTTTTTTGACATTGGAAAATAGACTTGGATATTCTTACCTAGCAAGGTAGAACTCCTCAGTAAATATCAGAAAGAGACTGACTTTATATTTAAATATCAATAGTTTCTTGAGATGATGTGATGGAGATAACTGACTAAAACTCAGAGGCAGACTGAGTCATCACTACAATGTTTCTGCAAGAATAACATTTTTGAATTGAAAGTGTGTTTCTGTCTAGCATTTGATGAATAAAAATTAATGTGCTTACAAAGCAAGAAATATATAAAGAGGGAAGTGGGTTAAATGTCAAAAAATATTGCAATTTGTTATTGAAAAGAGGCTCCTCTTGAATTAGAAACACACTACAAATGAACTGTTTCCTTAATTCCATAACTCAGTAATGCTAACTTGCATCATAACTCCCAGGCTCAGTGTACATACTGCCTTTTCAAAATTTGCAATATATATTGTATAATTTTAAAATTAATGCACCCATTTATCTTTTTCTAAATGTTACAGCTTCCTCTGATGATTAATGGGATAGACAAACTAAAAATGAAACAAACCAATCAATTTGACATGAAGGAAAAAAAAAGAGCTATCGTGAATTTCTAGTGATGAGGTTTCATGAGACCCATACACTTGAAAGCTTATCTTTGCAAATACAATAGCTGAAGGAACAATAGAGATTCTTGGACATGTTCAGTTACCAATATAAGGGCTATATTATTATAATATTAAAAGAATAATAGGAATCTGGAACAAGATTCTTTAGGTTTCCAATGAGCCAGCCAGGCCCTTTCTCAGTTACTTTGTTCCATTCTTACTATTCTATTTTCATTCCTCTCTAGAGACTCACCATTATTTTTTAAGTGGGCATTTATTTAGTTTTCACTCTCCCGCCCAATCTGTACTTCTGAAAAGAGGGTTACCTTACATCTGCTGATACCTCTCTTTTGTATGGGCATAGTACTGTTTGGGCTACATAAGGACTGGCAACCGAAGATTGAGTTTGCTATTAGTATACAAAAGTGGAAATTCCATGCACTGTTAAAGGCACAAAGTACTGTCTATAGGTTTTTTTAAAAAAAGACTATAATCCACAGAAGTTTATGCGATTGTAATAGTCTTTATTGAAGTGGCCACGGAATTCTTTGTTGTTTCTCCTGAAAGTATGATTCCCATTTTTCAGAGTTTAATAGCCAGCTGTCACCAGGATTCCCCGAACAAAAAGCAATCTGTAACCCAGTACAAAAATCTGGGTCTTGCGTCGTTAACTTTCAGCTGTTGAAATGGAAGAAATTACACCGCACTGGGAGCAGAAGCAAGAAGGAAGAGCCGTCCCATAGAGTCACACACCGGGAGGGCGGGGCTTAATCCCTTGACGTCATCAAGCGCTGCCTTCGCCGCTGGAACCGGTAGGCGAGCGGGGTGAAAAACACAACCAAAAGTCGCTGGTGGTGCGCCAGGTAAAGGACGGCACGCGCTGTGGATTGTTGTAGCGCGAGGCGCGGGGTCTTCTTGTGACAGGGCGGCCTCTGGCCGGTTCCATCGGTAAAAAGGGGGGAGCCACTGGAAGAGGGGGAATAATATTGCTGGAGATAGCCCCCCTTTTCACTCTGGCCATAATTCCCTTTCCCCATTTCGCTCGGGAGGACCCGCTGTCCTCTTCTCCCTTGCCTCCCCTTCTTGAGCTGAGACACCCAGACAGGAGCCCCCATCTCTCTCCCCCCTCCGAACCCAAATCCTATGAGCTTGTCAATTTAGGGGGCGGATTGGGACGTGACTGTGCAAGACTTTCTTAGCCGGGCACCCGGACAGGGAGCATAGAGCCCCCGATGCCGCCCGTGGAAAAAGTGCGACCAGTCGTCTTTGTTCGCTCCCACCCCGCTTCTGCCACGCCAAGAGCAGCCACTTCTGCCATTTACTCGCCTGCCTGAATTCGCGGTGGGGAATTTGCCCATTGGCTGAGCCAGCCAGAGAGGGGCAGGGAGGGAGCAGCAGCTCCTGGCAGCCGTTTTCTCGCAGCCACAGGCTCGCTTACCTTTGTGCGCCACTTTCTGTGATTCTCTCTCTGGGCAATACATTGGATGAACGGGGGCTTACTGTGGCTCTGCAAAGGGAGCAGGAAGTGAAGAACTGGTCATATGCCCTCCATCTGCCCATTCTCTCTCTTACTGGCTATGTTGTCTCCACTCATGGAACCACAAAGCAGCCAGTCCCCTATTAGTCTCATGTGTTGTGCAAACCTCAGCATGTGTTGTTACTTTTAGGTTCAGGAATAATAGGTTGTTTCCTGAAAATTGAGTTACTTGAGTAAACAATGGTTGTTAATTATGGGTACCCAAAATGTTGTGAGCTCAAACTTCCAGTAATGTGTAGAAGAAAGTGCAAGTAAAATGTTTTGGTGCTCACTCTTTAGAAAAGCATTTGTCACCTCTGTGTAATCATTGAGTTGAATGAAGTTGCACCAGATGCCCGCCATTGCGGCTCTTGCAGAAAGCAGAGGCAAATAAGTGAATGAAATAGCATTGCCCAGGAAAGAAAAGTGGACAAACAAGGAGGAGGAGGTAGAAGCGGACACTCTTTTCTCGCTGCTTGTTTCTTCTATTATTTCACTGCTTACCTGGGGCAAAGGACTGAGGTGCAATCTGAAGGCTTCTGTGCTGGTAGTTCATCCTGTTCTTTCCCAACTGTGAAGGAGATGGAAAAAAAGTGTTTACTGTTTACTCACTGTCAGTTACTAGATGGCAGCAAAGAGTTAGTGTTCCCTGCAACTCTTTTCTGCCACCTAGGAGTTGTCTGGATTTTTGCAGTCCAGATATCATGGCCCTAATGAAGACTAAGACATTGATTATGATATAGACATTTTTGTTCAAACTGATGCTTTCTCATCTTCTCTGTGAAGGTTTCTGGCTTTCTATCTGCCTGCATTTGAGGGTCATTCCAGCAGTTTTAGCCACTTTCACATGGAGAAGGGAAAGTGCTACTTTCAATTGCACATTTACTTTTTGGGAGGAATTCACTTTCCCTTGAGTGCTGATTATTCATATCTCTCTAATTAAGCACACAAAAAGGATGATAGAATATCTTACCTACAAATATTAAAAAGGGAACAGCTCTTACCCACAAACTTACAATCTAAATATTAGTATGGTTGGGCCTCCAAATCCTATAAAATTACCATCAAGGAATGGTGGATGATAGTGGCAGTAGCAAATGTAGAATCAATACCTAGTTCAGCTTGACCATACCAGGAACTCTTCTGACTTTTTCTTAAAAATTTTTTTGAGACAAATGGCAGCTGAATGGTATATGCATGGTTGTGAGGTTTAGTGCATTATCTGTTTGTTTATTAATCACATTTATAGACCCCCAAATCCTTAAGGACTTTCAGCAGTTTATAAGATGAAATATATAAGAAGTAATATGCAATAAAAGCACATAAATAAAAACTCCACAAACCAATGAAAGCATAGAAAACCATTGCGTTAACAAAACCAAATAATAACCTAATCAAGATGGAATGAAGGGCCAAATGCCTTCCAGAATGTTCTGAGCAGCTTTTAAAAGGCAATCAGAGTGGAAGCTTTCCAGATACCCCTGGAAGGCTGTTCCAAAAGACCACTGCTGCCACAAAAACCAGTGCCACTAAGCCTCAGCCTCCCTCACCTCCATAAAGTGGGGCATCACGTGCTGTTTCTCCCGGGTAGATCAAACTGGTTGGGGTGATTCCAATGGGAGAATGTATCCTGCAGAAAGCCAGGTGCCAACCCATGTTTTTCCACAACAAAGTGGTGCTAATTTCAAAATAAATGGCATGGTTCATATAGTGCACCAAGTAATGGTTTGCTTAATAATCTACAATTGTTTAACCTTTGTTTATTTGTTTCCAATGTGCTCTAATCCTAATGGACTTGGTGTGGTACAACAAAATGAAGTGCAAAAGACTAAAGCGAGCTCAGTGATAAAACAGTTAAAGTACTATTATTAAAAGCCATTAATAAACATCATAGGCACCTTTAAAGCTTGACCAATCTAAGGGCTGAATGCACATTGGAACAAAATGCTTTCGCTTGCTTATGCAAAAGTGATAGTTGACCAGGTCCACACAGTGTGCTAAACCACAAACTGTGGCTTACAAAATAAAATACCTGCATTCACTTTATATTCTAAGCCAAAATGTACTCTTTGTGCATCAGTCTTCTACACTGCTAGTCTCTCTGGGAAGTGCAGGAGGATAGGGTAGGGTTTACTGTAGCTACGCAAAGGAAGTAAGAGGTGATGAGTTGATCACGTGTCCTGTGCTTACCTGTTAACAAGTATTCTCATACTGGTTGGGTTCTCTCCATTTTTAACTTAGTCCATGTGTGAACCTAGCCCATGTAATTAGGTTATAGTTCCAGGTGTTGTGCAAACTCAGAAAATGGAGTTAATTGAGTACTCGCTGTTTAATGTATGAATGCAGCCATTGTGTGAACCGTAATGCAGTTATTTTGGCTTTGGGTTAGCATGTTGTATGAATGCAGTCAATGTGATTTGTAAATAATGGTTTATAGTTTAACATGCTGTGTGAATCTAATAGCAGTTTATTCTGTAAAGCACAGCTAGGCAAAACATGTTGTCTGAACCTAATTTTATAGTACTACACTAAACAGCTAAAGAGAAGAAAGGTCAAATGGAACTTGGTTTTCAGTAGAGTGAACCTGATTTCCAATTCTGTCTCTTTCTGTGCTGCAGTTTGATGGAATATCATGACCTTTTGATATTCTTTGTCCATATAATTAGGCCTCCCTTGGCCTCCTAACTTCAAGCCCCCGATACAGCCTCTTGTCCTCAATTTCTATTTCCAGTCTCCTGTCCTCAGCCTGGGAGCCAAGTTATCAGATTCTTGAAGCCCTTGGTCCCTAGCTGCTACTATTTAATGCCAGATCCATCTGCAATAAATTCCTCCTCATCCATAGATGAGAGGACAGATCTGACTTGTATCTAGGAAGCCTTGATTGGTGACAAGAAAGGAATGTGTTCCACACTGTTTCCATCCATTTAGGTTTTCGATATAGCATCAGCTGCAAGCCCAGGGCAGGAAAGGTTGGGTGACAGTTGTCTTTGGAAAATTTTGCAGGAGACCAGAGGCACTGTCCCAATGATAACCAGATGTGAGCCCTTGGGCTCAAGGGACAAGTTTGGACTGTTGCTGTTAGTAATCCCCTCCTACATGGTGACATCTCTGCTGGACCTCATCATTGGTTGGTGGAGTTCTCCAGGCTTATTATGCTGGGGGGATTCACTTTGCCTCCCCTGAAGGAGGGAGTCAGAGGTGGCCTGGAAGTTCCTCACTACCATGACAATTGTGATCCTTTCTGATTGAGCTCCCAAATCAGTGTGCAGCAACACCTGATCTGATTTTAGTCTTGGGACAGATATGCTATGATCTGAGAGGGGTGGACATTAACATTTGTCCCTTATCTGACTTGTCATGGTCAGATAATTCTGTGATCACTTGGAGAGCAGTAGTGCTGCCAGCCTTGGCAGAAAAGACGAACCTATTCACTTGGTTGCTAGAGGGTACTTGGGGATTTTCTGAGATCTGGTGAGCAATTCTGCAAAGGCTTTACAATGGTTGCCTGCTGGAACATAGAGACAGCTATTGCCTTGGCAGAATTGTACCTGAGTGGCTTCTTCCTGTCCATCAGTCCTGGGGATATCCTCTCTTTATCAAGGACCTCTGAGAGATTAGGTGTAGACAGCGAAGAAGATGACGTTGATGGAGATGTGCAGGAACCATTGCCTAGGTAAAAGGGCTGGAGCATTTTTAAAATCCAGAACATGATAACATTGAGAAGTGGCCCAGGCAGATGCCTCCTTAATTCATGAAACTATAAGGAGGAGTAAGAGGTTCAGCACAATGAGACTTACAAAGTTCTGTTATTATAACCAATCCCAATAAAAGTAGTTTTAGCCTTCCTGTGGGGTTGATTTCCTGGTCTGCTCTATCTAGTGGACTGACATTAAGTGATGGAAAAGATGCCTAGAGGAACCCTGGCAGAAGATAAAGAGCAATTCTGATCATACAAAGAATTCATATTTGAATCTATTCTGTGGCATTAAGAACAGCAATATGGGGTGCTGCCCAGCAGCCTATTTAAAATGATCTGGGCCCTGTTAGTGAAGTATATGCCAAAATAACTGTATGGAGTTTTCTAGGCATCCCAAATATAACATTAGTCAGATTCTTTTGAAATTGGATGCCAGTTGGTAAGTCTTTTTTAAGTGATGGAAACTTCATTTTGCAAGTTATCTGGGATGAGCTTCAGCCTTTAGATCCTGAGGAAGTGGACGAAATCTCAGTGGCATCAATTGTGCCACCTGTAGCTGGGGATTCCTGGTTGTTGAAAGCCTCCAGAGAGATGACAAGAACCTGGGTCAGGATGGTGGTGAATGCATCCTTCAGAGAAGGGTGGTGTTT